GACATGTTTATACCAATCGGTGGTGACTGCTCTCTCAATATTGTATACCTCAGCTAAGATTATTCAAACATAATGCCATGATTTTTCTTTTCTGCCGATTTATTGTCATCTCTGTTCGATTTCATCGTACGGGTTAATAGTAATCTTGTCATTCTCGGAAAATTACCGAAACCATCGTTCGACCTAGCTCTGCTCGTTGTATCGTATGACAGTCCTTTGGTGTACCGCTTTCGTTTCTAAAAATTGTTTGCACATTAAACTATGCACTAAAATGAAGTAACGCAATAAAGAAAAGAGTCGAAAAGTGTTTATAAGATGTCTCGTTATTTCTCTCTCCTGTTTTCTCCCTGATTGTGGAGCATCTTGTTGAACTTCACGGCTATTAGTTTGATGCGTACATGCAAGGGTTATCCTCTGCGGAATGTCTGTGTTTCAGTCAGTGATCGTTGAATCCACTTTCCTACCCCCGTTAATTTCCATTCTGTTTAGTCTGTTTTATGCCGACTGTGATTTACCGGATCACGTGAACAAGTGTGCTTACAGCTGACACGTGTCTCAATTCGGTCGACCTTGAGAATTCGTATCCGTCTAGTTTTGTGTTTGTTTTTAGTCCGTACTGCTAATACTTTACAAGCTGATCACACTGCCGTTCGGTAAATCGGTCTGCTTTCACATGCTATAGTTCGGTTGGTACAATTGCCGGCTGGTCGAGTCTGAGGTTCTGTACGCTAGTCCGAAAGTTCAAGGTCCTTGAAGCTCATGTTATTAGTTAATTTCCGTTTGCGTTTCAGGTCAAACCATTGGTTATTTGTTTTGCTTGCCTGTTCTAGATTAATCTCTAGTCCGTCATAGATACTTTCCCTAACGGACGGGTGTTAGGCATAGAACAGAAAGCACGCACAGTACAACGAAGAAATTATTTTCGACTATTGTAAAATGCAACGGTCCTCACAAAATTGCCAAAACTATGCACACATGGGAAGGTGGCTTCATCCCCTCCAAGTGCATCGTTTTGGCAAACGGCTTCGATCAACAAACATCTATCACAATGGACCTTATTTACACTCGGTTTATGCTGTTTACCGGTTTCACGTTTGATCTGAATTTAGGATGGTCTGAACGGACTTTCTGGTCAGCATAGTATAGTACTACTTCAAGTGGATAAACAAATTCCAGGAACCATCACTGGTTGTTCACAAAATTCCACGCAAAAGTCTATGAAAGTTAATTAGTTGATGAGAAAAGTATTCTTCTATTTTCTTTTTCCTCTTATACATTTTTGATGCACTCACACAGTTCATTTTTTTGCCAAGTTGCAGGGAATGGATTATAGGAAGTTTGAGTTTCAGAAACGACGAACATCGTTCGTTCATGTCTGTCGACCGCCTAAATAAATTGCTTTGTTTTAACGGGCCTGTCTAATCGAATGTGTTTATGACAGTTTTGGGGCTTGGAAACAGCGAATAACCGGAAAATTTACTCATTATATCGCCCCTCGTTTTTTGTAAGAATTTTCACCAAATTGCAAAAACAAGCATGAAAGCTCAGACGATTTGTAAGTATATCGACCGACTGAACCAAGTAGCGATATTCGTTCATGTGTAAAGAATTAAACTTGTATGGTATCATCCAGTGATTTCTTCAATATTTTGTGTTATTTATTTTGATACGGTGTATTCGGACCATGTTTGATGGGAATTGAAAGCTAAGAAGCACTTAAAATTTGTTTACCTTATCAAGTTTTACTGATATCCTAATGGTCAATTGGCTTCAGTTTTTGATCGTCAGTAGAGATAGATTTGATCTTCTGACGAACTCCAACATAAGGAAATAGCTATCAAATGATTTCCAACTTCTCCATACCAAGTTTGCAATGCTCTATATTCGACTAATTCCATCACCGTTTTGGTGCATAAAAGGTAGCCTGACTTGATTTCAGTTTCATTTTATGCAGCTATTAACCAGGCACTTTTGTGCAGCGGTTTTTGGTTGCTGTCTCTTGGCTAGCCATTTGGATCAAGAAATAGACTTGAGATTGGAATACTGGAAGCAGTAGCAGTGTGAAAATAAGGAATTCCAGTAGACTGAAATAAACAAGGTATTAATTGCATGCACGAACACCAGTGTTAGCAAAGCTCACCAATATCAATCAGTGTCTCCAATAAGGTAATACACTGATCCCAAGGGCATCGACTGCAAAGCCCAATACGATCTGTGTGACTGAAACCTGCGATCAGGTTTTCCATCCCTGCATGCCGAATCTTATTGATTTTTTCCCGACCATTACCTCTCTCGGAAAACATCACAAATCAAGGAAGTGCATCAGGTGACATACGGAACACAATATCAAATCCAAATTTGGAACGGATGTTATTGAAGTAATTGTGCTTCATGCTCATAGTATTAGATCCGTGAAGGAAAACGTTTGGATAAGCCATGACGATGAAAAAACCAAAAGGCCTTCCAAGAGGGTCGAAACGTCGTCACCAAAAAAAACTTGTTTTTGGTTTTTTCATCGTCATGGCTAATCCAGACACACGTAACACATATCCCACATCTAGCAATCAGTTGAGGTTAAGCAGTCTACCCGGTGGACCACTGCAATTGCCTAAAACTCTTGGTAGAACCTCAGAAGAGTTTGTCGCCTCTCCCCTCTCCCAAACGAGTATGATTCGGAGTAGAAAACGATGTTCCATCTTTATACTGTTCTTGTGGCTACTAAATTTCTGCAAGATAGCTTATTCCTACCAGACAGATGCAGCGTACTCGCATCCATGTGTAGCAACACCGCCAAGTTAGCGAATGTCAGCCGAGCCATCTGTATGCGCTCTGATACTTCATCTGAGGTCGGTCAGTCAGGTGAGACGTAGCTGCCCAAATAGAAAAAGGTATCTGTTTTCTCCAGGACCATGAGTTAAGATCAACCCAGTCTGTTTGACACTTCGGAGATGCAAAACCGTTACTAAACGTGGTCACTCTATCTCTGGAACCATGTTGAAAAGCTTGACACGTAGCTGGTTCTTTACTCAGCAATACGATTTCATTTGCATACTCCGCATCAATCAACTTACTACCTAGGAGCAAACATCTTTATTCTCACCTGAGAAAACCGCTCTTCCTAGGATTATTTTCATCGCAAAGTTGAAAAGAAAACAAATACGGAGGGCTGCTCGGACAAATACCACTTCCGTAATGAACTCAGGCGAAAATGAACTGTAAGCTCGAACGTGGTTTTTGCTGTTCATATACAGGAATTGCAAAAACGAAACATACTTCTTTGGAACACCCTTCAAGGAGAGGTAGCGCCAGAGTACACTGTAGTTAACTGTGTCAAAGACCGCTTTTAGATCAGGAGAGATAGAAATTTAGAGTCTGCAAAGGAAATGTCTGTTTAAAAATTTGACAGCGAATCAAATTATGATCTCTGCAGCCTCAACCCGGCCTAAAGCCTGCCTGGTTCTCACGTGACAGATTACCAACGGAGAACGATATCAGCAGGAAGTTTGGAGAGAATATTTATTAATCTAATCTAACGTAACCAATGGCGACTGTTACCGATAGCCGCAGCTTTTCCCGTTATACAATTTACTGTTCAGCTGTTCTCGCTGTCTCAGTCCTCGAGCTGTTGTCTGTGACCATATTAGGCATTCAGATAAATGGTTTTGGAAGTGTTCAGCAAACCAGCAGAGGTCGATCATCATTTGTGTTTAGATCGTGTGCCAGAATAGATCTTTGTTCTGATCGACATTTGAATAACATCTAGTCCTCACTGAGTCTGCCTTCGCAAGAGCTGACATTTAATCCAAATTGAGTTGATATTTTGCGATAATATCAGTTGCCAGGTATGAATTTAACACTAGTTGCAGACTGAAGATGCTTTTAAGGCGTGAGTAGGTTATTACTAGTCGGCGACCAGCCGCGTTGCAACCTACCGGTCGTTTTTCCACAAGGTGAATAGAAAAAAGGGTCAAGTACATGGCACGGATTCACTAAACGATTCATCGTAAGTAGCTGTGGACGGGATATCCACCATCTAGTGGGATCATCGCTTTCACCTTGTAGCATTGCACTATGCAGTAGTTGGGTTTTTATTCTCAACCATAGGTGTCGGATAGTACTGAGAATCCCTATTTGTGCCGTATTCTCAAGCTTTTTCCCGGGTTTCATCCATGAAATCGACTTGTACACACCGCACTAAATCTGTAAATACCGCAAAGCGCCATATCCCTGAAAATTATTAACAATTACTATTGACTTCAGTTGATGCTTGAAAAAGAGGGAGCGTTGTGCTGTTGATCAAATATCCATTTAACTTATCGGCTCTTCCTTTTATTCTCCACTTTCGGTAAGCGTTTTGTACCTGCAGAGTATTGATTGAATCGAAACGACTGACATGGACACACTCTGCTCATGTATGCAAACTTATATCATGAATAATCGTCAAATTCGATGTGCCAAACTAACGAAACAAGGAGCACACAAAAATCCGCAATGACCGTATTCAAAATTCAAGCTGATTTTAAATATTATTTTATTTTTTAAATATCTCCTGTTATGTTTAGAGTATCAAGCTTGGATTAGCCCATTCGATTGTTCAGAGGCACCAGGCACTCTTGAATTAAATGCGATGGAAATATTTGTTTCATCGCATTTAAATGCATACAAACAGTGGGGAATTAACGATCTCCCAAGGAGTGAAACCCACACCGAGAGCCATCAAGAGTGCCTGGTGCCTCTGAACAATCGAATGGGCTAATCCAAGCTTGAAACTCTAAATTGATTGAGCCATTCGCACAAGGTGGTAACCGTCGGCCGTGTAGCTCATGGGTAAGGGTTTGAAGTCCCGACCAAACTGATCACGGTTCGAGTCCTGACAGGGACACAAAGAGTACGCACTGCTGACGAGTCCCAAAATAGGACGAAACAGCTGTCCAGTGCTCTTTGTTGGTTATCACAAATATTTCCATCTCCTGTTATGGACTGGAATTCTGTGGTGTGGACAAGTGGCAATGCATCTGGCTTTTACCAGCCGACGTAGGTAACTTATGTTTTTAAGTGAAGACAATCACTTTAAGACGAACGAATCCGTGAAATAGTAGTATTGGTTTATAGATGTGACGTGAGGCTTGCTGATAACAAGCACAACACTCATCCATTTTACGGATTTATTTTGTTTCCAATCATTTCAGAACCCTGACTCGGAATATTCGTGAGCGACGCGGATCCAAAGTGGCCATCAATCCTCCAAGTCAGTTTTGCTATATTCTATGTGACTGTATCCATATCTATTAAATCTGATGTATATCGTGTGCCCCCTTCAGACACGGTTTTTATCAGTAACTGTTTTATGTGAT